TTATAATATCATGCACATATTTGAACTGGAGAGAGAAAGGCTTCGGACCGTATAAATATATGATATTCAGATATTATAGTTCCTCAAGGATTACGAGTATACATAAATCGCGGGTTCAGTTTTTGTAGTTTGCAGAGATATTCAGAGTTTAGGTCACGTTTATATATTTTTTATTACACTTTGCGCACACAGTTGTGCATTCGGGTCACGCGTTTTTCCGTACAGCCTCCACCCGAGCCTCCAACGTATCTCTTCTGCCGACTCCGTTTTGAAACTTTTCGTATATAAACGGACAGCAGTAGACACCGAAGCATGACATTGGTCCGCGAGCGTGACGACACGCAATAATACTAATACATGTGATAAATAACAGATAATGTACGATTTCATTTTCGAGTAGGACTCGCAGGGGTGACTTTAGTTTTGGAGAGAGTGTGCCAACAAACATGACTGACGTACCGCATGCTATAAAGGGACATGGCGAAATACAGCACGCAAAAATTTAAAGGTAGAGACCTGCCGACAGAACGCTGTTGCACGGCGTTTTAAACATGATATACGATACGATATTTTTATGATATTATATTCACAACACCGTTACGAATTTGTAATAGGTGATAAACATTATATTGTATGATTGGATTCCTCGTGTATGTTATTTGGTCTAAAAATGTCGTGTTTTAAAATCGTTCAGGGTACTTTACATATTAATTTATATTTTCGACATTTTAGCTTTTATTTAATATATTAATAACCCATTAATCACCTCACATTTTTATTTGAAATGTGGTATGTAATTTTGTACGTACATAAAATGTGTGTATAGTGTTTGTATGGCGAATGATTTATATAGAATAAGTGTGTAGTTATTTCAATCATACGGCTCAGTAAATCAAAACGAACGTGATGTGTACTCGTCTGTGCTCTCTTTAGCTAGTAGCGTTTCATTTCTTTGAACGCAATGACTTGTTATACTTAGCTCACAAGCTTTAATGGAACGGTACAAGTTTCTTTAGATATAACCGTTCAAAGTTTATTTCCTAAGCTGAATCATTTTTGCTGCAGTCATCTAGAAATAAGGACGCGCTTTTATTTGTTTTATGATTTAATTGAAATTGGCATATCTGTACTGGAGAAAAAATGTATAAATTATCAGATCACTGTTAAGTGTGTTTAACATGCGTGTTTAAGTATATCAGACAAATAGTACAACTTCAAAAACAGATTTTAAAAGTAGAGTTTAAAAAGTAGATTAAACAATACAATATTACTAGGTCATTAGGTACTCGTACAACGTACATATTCGTATAAATATACATTTAATTACAAAAGTTATTTTCATAGAACCAAAGAATACAATGTTTTATTAAAGTTCTACGCATTTTACTTTAGTCTTGACACTTGATAAGTTTATTATTTTTTTATGTAAATACGACCCATTTTAAATGTATGTTACTTGTTTACTCGTATTTTTACTTTATTTACTTTTTAAGATTATTTAGATAGTTTAGTTTCTTTAACTTACTAAGATTGAGACATCGTGTAAAAACAAAGTTCTGATCTTATTAAACGAATCAAAAAATGTTTTATTTATAGAATATATATATATATATATATATATATATATATATATTATACCTTCTAGTTATTTTATTTATATATTTATCCTACCCCTAAGGTGCCGCCAATAAGAAACTCCCCCTATTTTGCTTGTATTCATTTAATATTTGTGAATCATTTATTATTGAACATATAAATTTATAATTTACTTATTGTAGATAGATTCAAAAAGGAGATTTACCCGTGTACTTAAAATGTCTTAAAAACTACCCCCGGGTAGCTATTCCAATGTCTAGAAACTGTTTTGACGGCATTATCTTAATAACTTACAGTTAAACTATCAGTAATTTATATATACCAGCTGACCATCGTCGACTATATACATACATATATATTACAATAATAATATAACGAAGTGGTAAAGATCGAGCACTGTGTACCATATAAATGTACGTATATAACAAGTCTCGTTACTTTCACACATGTATTTTATATACATTTATATGTGTAATCCCCACAGGTCGTTCAGATATAACTATATAAGCCCCATTTTCTGTACGCTACCGTTTACAGTACCTGGATTTTGGAGATACTGTCCAAGAAAACCTTTATTTAATACCCACAGGAACGAACAAAGATATTATCTACTACTAACTATACATGGAGCTTGTTATCTAAATGTTAAAATATAATATTATATGTATATAGGTTTTTATATAGTTATACCTCAAAAATTTCGTAATTTTTATTTATGCTTAAAGTATTTAAATGTCGAAAATACTTGTAAATAGTTGATACTCTGGTAAATTTTCAATATTTTTGTTGACCTCAATCAAATTTTTCTTTTAAAAAAAAAAAAAACTTTTTCAAACAGCTGTTGATTGTTTATGCCGTTTATGGTTTTCTTAAATGAGTATTTTATGTTGTTAATGGTTATTGGTTTTCTACCAAATACAAAAATTATAACTATAGGCTATTCGGAATGAGATTGTACCTCGGCGGCGATCAGTTTTCGTTCACGACGGTCAGATGCCACCACAAAATTTTCTCACCACGAAAGCTCGTAAGGCTAGCGCTGTGGAACAAAGCCACGCCCATGCGCAGAAATCGGCCGCCGAGGTACGATCTCATTCCGAATAGCCTATAGATATTATCAATTTTAAATTTATGAAATAGCCATAATAGGTTATGTAATATCTATTTCGGTTAAACGGAATTAACAAAAAAAAAATAAAATAAAATAATTTTAAGATTTATGGCATTCAAATTATGTAAGTAAATCCATATGTATGTTTATCAAACACATAATATATTTTACTGCGTAGAGACTTGACATTGCGAAAAAACGAACGCTCTTCTATCGTTTATAGATTAACTGTACGTAAAAAAAAAAACGAAGTGTTTTAAAAAAGCATGTTGGATAATAATTTGCAATAAATTTATCTCTATTACATGCCATTGTCGATTATATTACAAATAAATATATAATAGTCTACAGAGCGGTATTTTAAACGATCTCTTGTCGAAAAAAATTCAGATCCTTATCGCGTCTCAATATATTGTATACCTAAACCGTTATTGATAATTATAAATTGCTGTGTAGTGACTAGAGTCTATAAATATCCAAAAAAATATGAAGGCGATATACTGCGCTACAGTAGAATATCATTCAAACATTAAGCGAGCTTATATTGTGTATACATAATATATTATATACGTCTTGGCTATTACTGATACGTATCGACGACCGTAAAGATATCTATAAAATTCATTTGTAACTAAGTTGTGTTTAGCAAATCCATCCGAATAAAATACCTGTGCAGAAGCGTTTCCGTGAAATTGTTCCGGCTTTGAAAATCGTATGAAATATTGTATAATATTATGTAATATCGTACCTATTGCCTGCACCACACGACGTCAAGTAGACGACACGACGGACTAGTATATATTAGTATAGTCGCGCACGTTTTTACGGAGTACAAAATTTTGAGCGACAACGAACAATATAATATTAATAGTACTATAACAATCAACACCTGGTCGTCCAGACGAACGTTCATCTTGACATCAGACAATGTCGCTGTATAGACTGCTTGCAATACGTAGCGGGCATCGTTCCATATGTATTTTATATATATAGTATATAATATTATATGCTAAACGTAAACGGAGAAAATAATTTTTACTTTTGAATTGCATAGTGCTTTTGTTTTAATTTTGTCTCACTGAATCTCTCACCACACTCAATTTCGTTCAACCCAAACATTATAGTTATTTAATATGGGCAATATATAATTGCTTCTAATGTATAATTTATAGCATATTTATATTAAAACGTTTCACACAATTATTTTGATTCAGTATCTAACCTCTAAAAATGTCAATATCAAACTAAAAAATCATGCCATAAATTGTTGATTTTTATTTAAACAGGAAGAAAATAGCTTAGGTAACCGTTCGGTTACCTGTACAGTATAGGTGGTGAATGAACCTTGTTATTGAGGCATAAATCACTGTAATGTACATATTAAATCTGAATTCGATGATAAATCATTGCGAAGATGGTATGTTAATATAATATATATTACTAACTATATTTCATGTTATTATTATTATTATTATTATTATCATTTATTATTAGCATTATGGTGGTTAATTTAATTTTTGTCGAAAACATTGCTTTAAAAATATAATAATATAATACATGTTAAAAGTTTCAAATAAACTACGAACAATATTTTTAAATCAGGTATAATAAAATAACTAAAATCGTTATTTTGCGATTAAATATTTCATTTTGTTTAAATCTGAATTTAAAATATCTAAGAAATGAAAACTGTGTTTAAATATTCTTAAGATTTTTTGGTTTCAGTATGAATTATTTATAACTTTGTATTAAATTTTCAATCATTTGATAAAAAAAAAAAAATCACATCACTTATAAAAAAAAAAAAATTAAAAATTGAAATTTCCATAAGTATAGCTCTAAGAGTAGACATGTTGAAAATTTTATCACGCGTGGAAAATGCTTAAATAAACATTTGTTAAAAAATTAAATTATCTACTGTTATTTGTCTTTGAGTTATACCAAACATACAAAATGATTTTGTCAAATATTGGTTTGACGTAAAATTTCCCGTTTTTCCTTATTTTTTTTTATTTTAAAAGTACTGTGGACTTTTTTACTTATGACTTCTCTCACAAATACTATTTAAATCCAATTTTCTAATCAGGTACCACCATAAAAGTTGAAAATCGAAACGTTTTTACTGCCCCAAAAAGTGATGACACGCAGAAATAAAACAGACGTCATTGTAAAATCAATACATTCTCGCTCCGCTCAAAACCTAAAATATCAGTCTGTGCAGTGTTCTCTAATATTCGAATAATATAGTTATATTATGCATTATAATATCGTTGGTACGTAATTAGATACTCACCCCTTTTGTTGAGATGGTCCTCAATCATTACCGAGCTGATCATGTACACATTACCGATGCTGCCGATGACGGACAGACCGATCATGATCAACAGTCTAGCCACCCTACTCCATTCCATGCTCAGCGTGACAGGCGATACGGCATCGCTGTCCACCAGCGGCCCGTCGTTTATCATCGTCGTACTCATAACCGACTCTACGATAGCTTTGGACGTCTCGTTTATCGTGTTCGTCACGTTGAGGCGGTCCCACATCGAGTTCTAAAATTAAAAATAAAATAAGTATAAAAATTATAATTTACGATACTACTTAGAAAAAATTTTTTTTTTCTTTTTTTTTCAATCAAAGCAGCAACAAGGTATTTACGTTTTAAAATTCTAAAAATGTTACCATTATTATAATATTTTTTAGGAACTATGTATTTATCCAGAATAATACTAGTATTATGATACGTTTAATTCATACATTGATTGATGAATAAAATATATAAATGATCATAATATTGTACGTCATAATACATTATATTTCCTTATAAATATTAGATTATGAGTTAAGTAAATATTCTATGTCTAATAGCTATTAATTTTACAGTAATATTAAAGATTTTTTTCGAAAAACCTTATTTTTTTTTTCAATTTATAACCTTGAAACACATTAAAATGCATCTCACACAATTATTGGTTATGTGGTTTTTGTCTTGGAATTTTAAATATGCATTAGGTATGTATCTTTAAAACCACTATACTTATTGCATTACTGTAGTTTATTCATAGAAGTTGCAATAAGCTACGCTCTAACGTGGCGCTGTTATTTTAATAAAATACTTTTTTATTTATTATTATATACGGGTTCTACAAATAAAATTTAAACAAACTATTGGCTAAAACTGAGGAGTAAAATAATTGCATGCGACGCCGTCGCGAGAGTTGATTAACTCTGAACAGATCGACGTCAGACACATTATGCTGGTCGGCGCCATACTTTAGCCAAGGATTCTCTGCAAAGGATATACGCAACGATGGGGAGGATGCGGGGTTAGCAGTTACCAATAAAATTCCTTTTAATGAGTTTCTTGTAGAAACGACCTTGGAGAAAACGTGTCGCATGCATGCTTTAATAAACATGTCAAACGCCGCCGCTGACGACGCCATGGTAAAATGGATCGATCTGACATTGACGGGGAGAGAGAAAGGAGGAGAAAACCATAATCGTAAGTAAATATATTAATGAATGAATGGCAACGTTAAACATTTTGAGGAGTGGCCTACAACTGAACAATATGTTCGTTGTGATGAAGATGAGTTATATCAAATTCTTTTATTATAGCCGACTCTTTTCGACATGAAAAAATAAACGATATAGTATATAATATAATATGTTTTCCGGTTAAAATCAAAGTTTTATAATAAAGACATATAGTTCTTTTGTATAAGATGAAAGTAGGCACGCACGCGAAAATTATATAAGATATAATATTTTTATATACCTCAGTAAATGTGTGATTACGTTTAAGAATGCGACATAACCACATATGTATCTATAATCCATAAGAATATTAAATTTCTAAACCTATTGGACATATATACTATAATGAAAATATATTGTATAAAGAAAAAAACGTAATATCGTTTTCGATATTGATTATTGATTTATCCCTGAAATTTTGTTTTAAGTTGAAAATTATTATTAAACCTTTATTATATGATATCTACCGTACATTTATATAAATTATATCTACTATGAAATATGTTTTTATTTCATATTCTTAAAAAAGAATTTCATTACATAATTTATATTATAATATTTATCATCATGGTACTTATTCAATTTGATTTAATGAAAATAGGAACTGAACTAGAACAATATATATATTTAATATAAAAAATAATATATTATGTACATCAATTTTTATTTTTATTATTTGCATGTTTTATAGTGCGTTTTAATGTACGAAACGTATAATAGTATATGCCATTGGATATGTGAAAAAAAATATATTACGTCACGTGTGGTCAACAAGAATAAAATGTGCTGTTACGTTATTGTTAGATCACTTAAATTATGTATGACAGGAAGACGTAAATATGTAACAAGGCGTGTGTCAGACTCTCAGGAAAGATTTCTTGTTTACATTTTCCGATCAATAACAAAAGAACTCAAACTTTATAAATATGATATATTATAATACGTTTATTAAACAGTTTTAAAAAGTGAACGCAAGTGTTAACTAACCCTTATTATTGAAATAATTATATGAAATGGAAATAACAAAAAGCATAACTACACAACACATACGAAGTAATTGTAAAGACATTAATAATATTGTAATTATATTTAATATAAAAATATTTATTTCATACATTATATGATTTTTTTTCAATCTTAAAATCTTATATATTTATCATTAATAATGATGTTTATTACATAATATTACATAGGTATTTTAATTTTCCTAACAAAATCATAATTTAGTATTTGTATTAAATTATACATTTTGATATTTTGTATAACATTTTTTTATTATATTATTTATATATTAATAGATAGAATATTTGTACATTAAAATATAGACAATAAAATTTGAAATCTTGTTTTAATTAATTTTTTTATTTTAGGTGTCCAGCAGTCTAATATATAATAACAAATGCCATATGTCATGCCTATATTAAGAATTTAAAAATCTCAGTGCCAAATGAAAAATTTTAAAAATATAAGTGGTAGATTATGTACACGAGTATGAGTAATTATCAATTATCAGATATTATGAAAAACTAATTTTATTAAACACGATTCATATACTTTATATAATTAGTAATAATCTATTATTTTAATTTTTAACTTAAGTTAGGTTATCACCTCAAGAATTTGTCTTGGTCTCATGCTTATATATTAAAACAGTTTTTATTATACCCGATTTTAAGCTTTTGGTAAACTAAATTTATAAAATGAATTTAAAAGAACAATCAAATGGTAAGTGTAAACAGTATATGTTTTTTGTTAATTCAACAACAGAACAAATCGTTTTTACAGTTTCCATAAAAAACAGACAAAAAAAAAAAAAAAATAAAGTAAATTAAATTGTGTATATAATGTGGGTTTAATTACGTCTACCGGAGTATATTACAAAGAGTGATAAAAAGTAAACAAATTCTTTAAACAAAGAAAGAAGAAATTATATCATTACAACGTTATAATGTAAAAAAATAAATAAATTCTGATACTGCATAAACAATTATTACAAAATTCTGTATTTTGATTTGCTATCAATTATAATTATCAACAAATGTATAACATGAACTTAAACATTTAAATTAAATAATTTAACGCAAACTTATTATAGACCTACCAAACAACTTATAGGCCACAGATCCGAGTCACGCACTCAAGTACCCCATAGCGGCATAGCCTATTGTCTATCAGACTTCTGACTCTAAACTAACTCTAAGTGTGATTAAAACTTAAACTTAAGCTAACGAGTGACAACCGATTACCTGAAAAGGGTAATAATTTTATACATTTATACATTAAAAACGTATGATTTTTAATCGAACCAAAAATAGTTCACAAAACAATAATTGAGTATTTAATATTATGAAATATTTTTCTGTCCTAAAAAATGAAAAAAATATCTCGTTAAGTCAAAAGTTAGTTTAAAAAAAGAATTCATTAAGTAAGCTATTTAAAAGTAACTTAACTTTTTAACTAGTTAATGTCTAGACATGCATTTTATTAATTACATAGGTAACTGTCAAGATTACGGTGACCTTGTCATTCTGAAGAATACATATAAGAAATTATACTTTTCTGAGGTCTATGGTGACGGAAAATCTTGTTTGGCATAATATAATATAGCTGTAAAATAGTAATATATGTTGTAGTAAATAACGAAAACGACATTTTAACGATATAAACTTTAAAGCTAAAAAATGCACTGAACCGACAATAAAAAACCAGTTCAAGATGACACATGTATAGGATACATATATTATTATATTTTTGTTTAAAATTAAATATGGTATGACCAACGATAGATTCTAATTTATGCGGGAACTAATTAATGGTTGCTAAAATTTGATGTAATTATGTGAAATCAGAATTTTTATTTAAAAAAAAGTGTGTATATAATAGTATTTTAAATAACATTATTACATTGCTTGAAAATGTGGTTATTATTCCAATTATTATAAATCTTTATAATTATTATAATTTAAATAAACATTTTTTGTATTTTAAAATATTTAAAAATATTTGTATTATACAATGTGATTCTCTAAACAAGTTCACCTCTCCTCACTTTTTTAGTATTGCTGTTATTCAAAATCTTGATTTTTGAAATTTTTAAATATATAATAAAACTATGTTTTTAAATTATTGAGATTTTCTTACTACTTAAGGAGTGTTTTGTGGCAATACAAATTTCTATATTTCAAATCAGAATTACACTTTTCTATTGTAAATTATTTAACGGATTTTTCCGAAAATGTTGACAGATTAAAATCAAATTTTGGACGAGTAGCTTTTGAATTATTTAACTTTGTGTACTAAGAATACTTATTACTAAGTAATAGGTTCAACCCATTATAAGTTTAGAAGATATGAAGGCTATACAGACTTAAAATTTTGAATAGTTAATATTGATCTATCAACATTAATAATATTAGAAAATACTTGAAGTATAATAAATATTTAATAGATTTAGTAAATTACATACATTTTATATATTTATTAAACTTCATTTATGAATTTTTATTTTAAGTATAGACATTTTAATAACTAAAAACTATTTATTCAAATATTGAATTAGGTAAATCAAAATTAAAAAAAAAAAAAAATGATTCATTAAATAAGTAATAACAATAAAAAGAAGGGAGGTTCTGATTTGAAAAATAGAAGTTTTTATCGACATTAGATATTTTTTAAATAGCACAAAAATATCTTAAGAATTTTTAAACATGGCTTTTAAATATCTTTGAACGTTTTAAAATTCAGAATTTGAATAAATGTATTATAAAATGAAAAAATGGAGGTGAGCATGGTTGATGAATTACTCTGTATAGTACCAGAGGAAATTATACAAAATGTGAAAAGAAAGTTTTTAAATTTATTTTTGTTTGCTGACGTGAGAAAAAAAAAGTTGTGATTAAAATAATTAATATAGAATACTATTTTTGCATTCAAGTTTTCGAAAAAAATTAATAATTGTAGCTTTTTGTTATTAATTTATTAGATTAGCAACAGAATTGCACCAATTATTATAATT